CGCTGGCGGGGCTGCTCGTCGACTGCCCGAAGGCCGGGGCCTGCCCGTCGGGCCACAGGCGGGAGGCGCGGCCGGCGCGGCCGCCGCCACGCCGCCCGCCAGCAGCTCCGGCTTCGGCGGTCCCGCTTTTGGCGCGTCGGCCACCGGGGTGTTCGGACAGACGACGTTCGGGCAGGCCCCGGCCTTCGGGCAGTCGACGAGCAGCCCCGCCAGCGTCTTTTCCTTCAGCCAGCCTGGGTTCAGCTCGGTGCCCGCGTTCGGTCAGCCCGCGGCCTCCACCTCGGCGTCTACCAGCGCGAACGTCTTCGGTGCCTCCTCCAGCACCAGCAGCTCCAGCTCCTTCTCGTTCGGACAGTCCTCTGCCAACACAGGAGGGGTGCTGTTTGGCCAAAGCAACCCTCCCGCGTTCGGGCAGAGTCCCGGCTTCGGGCAGGGAGGCTCCGTGTTCGGTGGCACCTCGGCCGCCACCACGACCACGTCATCTTCTGGGTTTAGCTTTTGTCAAGCTTCAGGTAAGAATTTACGGAAGACTCTGTCCTCTCTGTCATTTGAAATATTTGCAGGGGAAGAAAACAAAAAACAAAAAAAACCTGTATTGCCTTTGAGTTAAAAGAAAAGGGAAAACGAGAAATGCAAAAAGGGCGCTTGGAGTGCCGGCGGCCTCGCGACTTTCCTTGGCCTCGTCACCATAGCTGCAGTTGGGCTGCTCGGCAGATTCTCCCGTTAGCCAGTTCCATGGGGAAGAACACAGGCGTCTTTAGCTTAAGGTCCTGGCAAATAACGAACGACTCATAAAGCTGAACCTTTAAATCTGGAAGTTGCTTTGGAGGCTATTCCGTCCCAAACCGTCAAGGCTCGAGGAGACCCATCTAATGTCATGAGGTGCTAATCGTGGAGCCAGAACCAGACTCCGGGGTGCCTCGTCCTAGTTCACTGCCCTGCCAGCGTTTCCTATCCTGCCTCCTCTGACACCTTCTTGCTTGCTAGAAGGGCAGATACTTAACATTTGAAAAGGGTTTTTTGCCTGTTTTCAGCGTACTTTAAAAAAAAAACAACAACCCATATCTTTAAATGTTCCTTTTTTTTTTTTAAGTTTGTGTATTTATTTATTTTGAGAGAGAGAGAGAGAGAGAGCGCGCGCGCAAGCAGGGGAGGGGCAGAGAGAGGAAGAGAATCCCAAGCAGACTCCGCACCGTCCGCGCAGAGCCTTGACGCGGGGCTCAAGCTCACGAAACGCGAGATTGTGACCTGAGCCGAAACAAAGAGTACAACACTTAACCGACTGAGCCACCCGGGCACCCCTAAATGTTACTACTTTTTAAAGTAAAACATAGGGGCGCCTGGGTGGCGCAGTCGGTTAAGCGTCCGACTTCAACCAGGTCACGATCTCACGGTCCGTGAGTTCGAGCCCCACGTCGGGCTCTGGGCTGATGGCTCGGAGCCTGGAGCCTGTTTCCGATTCTGTGTCTCCCTCTCTCTCTGCCCCTCGCCCGTTCATGCTCTGTCTCTCTCTGTCCCAAAAATAAATAAACGTTGAAAAAAAAAAAATAAATTAAAAAAAATAAATAAATAAATAAATAAAGTAAAACATAACCCACTGTTGCGTGTCCATTTCAGCTGCTTTCACTTCCACAAGTTATCAACAGGACAATTTGAGAATATTTTCTAAGTTTCAATTTCTAGTAACTATCTAAGGAAAGGCAATTTCTTCAGCAATTAGGCCGCAGGGGGGAAACAGGGATTAATGATTTCTTGGTGGGCAAGAGTATAAGTGACTGCCCATTCGTTCACTTGGTGATGATTTATTTGCAGATGGTTTATAATTTATTAGCAAGGAAATTTCGTCCGTCCGTCCTTCCTTCCTCCCGCAAATGTTTGTTACGCTCCCGCCGGGTTCAGCTCCAAGGACAGACAGAGTGCCGAAAGACGGTTCTGAGCTCCACCTGCTGCCCTGTCAGGAGGCCGGCCTGAGTTCTGGGGAATGTGCTCATGTGGTGTCGCAAGGGGGAAAGGCCTGGGGAGGCTTAAAGAGAAGGGTGTTCAGCGCGCTCTTGGGAGCATCCTTTTCTCTGCAGTCTGAACTTGACAGTCCCTCAGGCACAAGTATAATCAAACTGTTCTGACGCAAGTATGAACCATTGAAGCAGTCTTCTTTCATCTAGTAACAATGTGGAAAGGTACCTGAGCAGTCTGCTCCAGCCCTGGTGGAGGAATTGAGCCTTGCCTGAGCTCACCTACCTAGAGATCAGTGACAGGGATGACCATGGAACTCCCGTCTTCCAGCTCCTTGGCTCGGGCTCTTTGGTTGCTAACATGCAGGCCCGCCTGGTTTTCCCAGGCCCAGTTCATAGCAGCACCTCAGCCCTGTTACGCCACCTGGAAAAAAGAGGAAGTACCTCAGGAGAACCTGGTGTTTGAGATCAGAGGAAACCAAGGAGTAAAAACATTTGTGACGTTAAGTCAGTCACTGGAAAGACTCCTTGACCGCAAAGCAAGGAAAAGCTATCCTGAGTGTGGCCCACCGTACCAGCCTGGGCTTTGGCAGGAGACAAGGATTCAGTGTTCAGGATTTGGGAATTTACAGTCTAATAGAACGTTAACGATGACCCGAGAAAGGCCTTCATTACTCATAATTTTCTCCCATTGCCTATATAGGAAAACAGATTTTATTCCTGAGTCCATTTGTTATCCGGTGTCTTAGAATGCCATCTGAAAACAAAATACTTGATGTCGTAAAAGACTCATCCAAATTAAACTTGTTTTCTTCTTATTTTCCAGGTTTTGGGTCTAGCAACACTGGTTCTTTGTTTGGTCAAGCAGCCAGTACGGGCGGGACAGTCTTCGGCCAGGTAAATGATGTATGTTTGCCTCCATTCGTGTCAACACGTGTCAGACCCATCCACGTTGTTCCCACACAGTGTAATCAGTTCGTACTGTGTGTCGAACGCCAGCAAACGGCCTCACATGGTTCTCAAGCTCTGCCTTCTTTAGCTCCCTTGGGGACACGGAAGTCTCAGCCTCTGATTCCAGAGAATCGCTACAATTTTGAGCCCCCCTTTTTTTTTGACAGTCCTCTAGGAGAGCACTTTAAAAGCACAGTGCGTGAGTTCTATCAATCTTCTGCCTGTTCTGCTAGGCCAGGAATTGACCTATAGTTCGTGGGCTGAAATCGGCTCCTCGGCCTTGTGGTGTTTTGTTTTTTGTTCTTTGTTGTTCTGGTTTTTTTTTTTTAAGGTCCTTGAGCTAAGAATAGTTTCTACCTTCTTAAATGGTTGTTTAGACAAAAAGAATAATTTTGAACAGAAACCACGTATGGGCCCTCAACTAAGCTGTATGTCCTCGTTTCGGTGACCTGAGTTGCTTCAGTGTGTCTAGCTGTTATCTGTGTGTGCACACGGTTTTGAGGGCTTTACACAGATTGACTCACGTCATCGTTAGTGCCTCTCTAAGGGAGGGGCTGTTATTATCCCCATTCCACCCATGAAAGCAGCAGGGCCCGGAGGAAATGCGTTGTTACATCACATGCCAGCTGCTTTCAGATCAGAATAAAGAAAGATACTCTGATGTATCAGACGCGATGGTGGCTTTCCAAAGGTGGTTTGGTATTTGCCTGTTAATTAATGAAACAGCAGGCATATTAGATGTTTCTTCCACATCTTCCAGAAGGGGTTTTCTTCATCATCCTTTTCCTCTGAAGACTAGGCTCTGCCCTAGTCCGTGATCTTTGGCACTTCGGAGCCGGTAACGGCAGGTTAAGTCATTTAAACCAGGTTCCTCGCCGGACATGGCTAAACATGGCAGACAAAACATAAAAACCATAGTTGGAAAAGCACTGGGCAGCTGACAAGGTGTTTGACGAAGGAAAATGAGTACCTGTGGAAGTGATCGGAGCATAAGAGCCAGTTGTGCCATGAGGGCATTTATTCATCTGAGAAAATTATCATTTCCTATTTTAATAGTTGCAAAGGACAGAGGGACAGAGATCACGGAGATGTGCACAAAGTGGGGAGTTTAAAAGGGACCCTCCCCCAAGGCAAGCCGGGACTCCAGATTCACTGGTTTCGGCTTGCGAATGTGGCCCGACAGGATCGTGGGATGGTGATGTCTGCAGATGTCCGGCAGAAGCAGCACCGACCCCGTTTGACGAAAAGCAACTTAACTCTGGGCCTTGGACACTTTGTAAGGACATTGATTCCCACGCCTAAATGAGTCAGTCACAAAAGGAAACAAGGAACTGTGAGCAAGGGCCAGAATACCCATCAGACATACATTTGTGAAGACTCCTAGACTATAAAGCAGCCATCGTTTTACGAGTCCAGTAGGAATAAAAGGCAAAATTGAGCATACTAGTAAAGAATGGGAGATAAAGTGTCCTAGCTGAATTGAAAAAGAACCACATGGAACTTAATAGAAAATATAATTGAAATTTAAGATCCTGGAAATCTAAAATCTCTAGACCCAGCCGAAGAGAGTAATAATACGTTGGGACAGAGATCAGCAGACTTTGTGCAAAGGGCTAGATAGTAAATATTTTAGACCTTGAGGGCCACATGTAGTTTCCATCACAGCTGCCTGATGCTACGCAAAAGCAGCCGTAGACCGTAAATAAATGAATGAGCATGATTATGTTTCCATTAAGTTTTATTTACAAAAACAGGCAGTGGTCTGGATTTAGCCCACGGAACTATATACTTTGGTGACCCTTGAACTATAAAAGGTAGGTCAGATGAAGTTATCTGGCATGCATCATGGAGAGCAAAACAGATGGAAAACGTAAAAGCAAAATCTTAGAAAATTTAACATTTAATCAGAGGAGAAGAGAGAAAGAGAAAGAATGTATGACAGAATTCGAGAAAAAGACACATTTCCAAAACCAGTAGAAAACACTAACCCACAGATTCAAAAATCCAACAAATGCCAAACAATGCGTAAAAGGAAACTGATTCCAAGCCCCATTATACAGAACTATAAAGAAATAACATTAAAAGCGCTCAGGAGAAAAGACGGGTTACCTTCAAAGGGGAAGAGTTGGATTCACAGCTGACTTCTCAGCGGTGACAGTGAAAGCCAGAGATGGTCGGTCTACCTGGAATTTCTAGACCTCATGAAAAGTAGCTTTACAGAGTGAAGGGAAATCAGGACGTTTTTCAGACAGATACTGAGAGAATTTATGCCTAGCAGACCTGAAGAAAATTCTAAAAGATACTCTTCAGGCAGAAGGAAAATCTGACTCCACTAAAATTACGGCTCTGCTAATTTTGGGCTAAAGCAAGCCATGAAATAGGAAAATTACAGCCTATAAAACTGACGGAATAATTGTATTCGGGATATATAAACAATACAAAGCAAAAAGAAAAAAGACAACTACACCCCCACCGAAATGGCTAAAATTGAAAGGGCTGACAATACCCAATATTGGTGAGGGGGTAGAGCGACTAGAAACTCCCACGTGTTGCGGGGGGGGGGGGGAGCGCATACATCCGTATAACCACTTTGGAAAAGCACCTGCTACTGTCAAAACTAGATACACAAAATTCCTATTGACCCAGCGTATCTGCTTCTAGACATGTAACCAGCAGAAACGAGTGCCTTTGTTCACTAGAAGGTATGGATACAAGTGTCCCTAGCGGTATATTCATAGTAACTAAAAACAAGAAATGCATACCAGCTGAAAAACGGATAAGTAAATTGTGCTATGTGTATTCAGCGGAATACTATCAAGCAGCGAAATCAAACGTGCCGCTTCTCTACGAGACAAAAGGGGTAAATCCCACAGACGTAGTGTTACATGAAAGAAGCCAGACACGAGAGTACAGGTACCTAAAGAGGCAAATACAGGCGAAACTTTGCATGATAGAAATCAGAAGAGTGATTGGTCTTAGGGCACGAAACATGGGATACAGAGGAGCCTTTTAGAGCACTAAAACGATGTTTGCTGTCTTGAACGGTTATAATCAGTTACGTGTCAAAACTCATTGAGCTCTCTACACAGAAAATTGGTGAACTTAAACACAATAGAAAATAGGCAAAAGGTTTTCCAAAAAGAAGATACTGTTGGTTGCACGACATCGTGAGTATACTCGATGCCACTGAATCGTACGCTTAAAACCACTGGAGTCGGTAAGTTTTACGTATATTTTATTAGTTTGTGTAAAGAAGAAAAAATAAGAGACTATAGAAGCTAAAGGGTAGCCAAAGGACCAAGAGACATACTCAACTTAATTAGCAATACAAATCAAAACAACAAAGAGATCTAGACCTATACGACAGCAAAAATTAAAAGCCCAACGATACCAAATGCCAGCGAATGTGCAGAGCAAAGGAAATTTGCTTCCACCCCTGGTCAGGTTGTGATTTGGTACAACCACCTTCCAAGGTGGCATGACTGGACAAAGACAGGCAGCTCCAACTCCCATGTGTGTGCTTTGAGAGAAACTCAAGAGCGTGGGCACCAGGTCATGGGAGTGTTTGTAGCAACTTTGTTATAATAACCAAAAACTAGAAGCATACCAAATGTTTATCAGTATTCCAGTGGGTAGATGAATTTGTATTATCCTGGCATAGAATTTTATCCAGCTAGGAAAATGAATAAATTGGAGCCACACGGGGGACTCACAGGCATGATGTGGAGCCGAGAGATCTAAAACTTACTGTGATACACTCCATATTGGTCACTAGCCCCCCGCCGCCCTACCCATATTCTTCCTTCGCAGAAATTACGTTTGCAGTTGGAGGGGCCAGAAGTTCAAATCGTTTTTTTGTTTTTGTTTTTGTTTTTTTACTGATAACAAGGGGCTTTCTGTGTTGCATTTATTGCTGTGTGCTCATTTTGTAGGACTGTGGCTAGCGCATGATGCACACTGTAAAAATGTATGAACTTTCAGATGATAGGAGTATCCTCAGAAAAATCTTAAGGGTAGAAGGTAGATTGTGGCTAGGATACAGAAGACCTTAACTCCTGTTGTAACAGCAAGCAAAATCCATATAGTGGAGAAATCACACTTACCCTGTGGTTATTCGAATTATCTTGTGCTGTGTAACAAATGTCCCCAAAACCTAACAGCATTTATATATCTCCAGTGATTGATTTTGCTGTTGGCTCAGAACTTAACTAGAGCTCTTGACTAGAACGTCAGCATGTGGCTTCTCCTTGTGGCCTGGGCTTCCTCACAATGTGGTGACTGGATTCCTGGGAGAAATTTCAAGAAAGGGAGCAGGCAGAAGCTATAAAACCTTTTATGACCTCGTCACAAAGCATCACTTGTGTGGCATCCTGGTATTCAAAGCAGTCCTACAATCCCACCCAGCTGTAAAAAAAAAAATAGACTTCACCTCCTGCTCTAGAAGAGCTCATGGGTCTAGAAATACTGCTGTGACCATCTTGAGAAAACGGTCTGTCCCAGTGGGACTCAGAGTGGCAGAACGCCTTGTGGAGTTGACTTCCAGAGAAGGGAGCCCAACATAGGTGAGCGTGATGGTGCGGCAGATTCTGGGGGTGTGTGTCAGGTCTGGGTTTGGGAAGGTGGAAGGGAGGCCATGCCGCACATTGAGGAAATGTACTGGCAAGGGAAGAAGCCAGAAGAAATTACTGGCAATGGGGGGGGCGGGGGGGGGCAAGCAAAACAAATGACCGATGAGAGCACTACTTCATAGCCCTCCAGTGGCTGTTATTGAACAAAACAAAAACCGAGAAAAACAGGTGTTGACCAGGATGTGGAGAAATCGGAATCTTCACACGAGGCTGGTTGGAATATAAAATAGTATATCTGCTGTGGGAAACGATTTGGTGACTCCTCAAAAAGCTGAGCGCAGAACTACCAGATGTCCCGGCAATTCCGCTACTGGGTAG